GTATATATATGTATAATAAACCAATTCAAATCGTAATTGTAAATTTTATTATATAACAATTTCAATTTAATATATTAATTTATATATATACCATTATTAAAATAATAATAATGTTATACAAATTAATAATCTTAAATTTAGAAAAAGTTTCTTTTTTTTTTTTGTTCATTTGTCTCCTCCAGTTATACGTTATTGTATACTATTGAAACTATTTGGTGTAAGAAAAATTTTTTTCAATTATTCTTTGTCTAAAAGTCTTGTCAAAAAAGTCTACGGCTTTTATATTGTCTATTTATAAAAGAATGCAATATCCTATTGTATTACAATATAAAATTGTATATATGTATGTTATATATGCTATATATATGTAGTAGATGAATATATTATACTGTGTATTATTTAACAATTATGGTCACACCCTACTTGTCTTTAAAAAAAAAAAAACGACCTTTATAAGAATAATTTTTATTCCTATATATAATTCAATTATAAGTAACTATATAAAAGTAGTACTCGTATTGTAGGTACATTGGTACATGCAAAATATTTTTTTTTTCTACACAAACCATTACAAATCAGTAACGAGTTTTAGTTGAAATGCTAGTAGTTATACATACTTTTTTCTCGTTATTATTATTATAAATTCCAACTCACCTCTTTCATACCTAACACATATACTAATGTTATATTATACTAGTATAACGGTACTGTAGTAACGTGATATAATATGAAAGTGAAACAGATAATATTATAGTATAGATTATAGTATAGCAGATGTAAGGGCATATTCTATGTTTAGTAATATATATTTATGTGTATGTATATTTTAAAAATAAAACAAATATCTTAATAATTTGACACATTTTTTTCGACATAATGTTTCAAATATTTTACATTTTAAAATTTAGAAATAGTAAATTTGCAAAAATATGGATTATATGAATATACTACATCAGAGGTTCTCAAACTTTTTGCTCTCGTAAACCCTTTGGCGTGCATGTTTTCCAATTTTTGACCAGATCGTCTGCTATTTTCTTTGATAGATTTAAATTTCTAATAGTAGAAATAGATGATGTTAGAAAATTAAATAAAAAACTTATTTGATTTAATTCATATTTTCTTATTGAATTTATTAAATTAAGTTATTAAATTTAATTAATTATTAAATTTAAATAAGATTAAAGTAATTCTTAAATTAGCACAACTTGCTTTCCATAGCAACTTACATTAGCACAACTTGCTTTCCATACCTTCATTTTTCATTTCTATCAAATGAAAATTTTTTTTCACCTTCGTAAACCCCTTGCAGGTCTTCATGATCACACCTGAAGGTCTTTATAGAACACTTTCGGAATCACTGTACTACATCATAAATTGTAAATTTTACATCAAATTGGGTTATAAAATGGTTTTACAAAATGAGTCACAATATTTTTAATATTCAAACAACTAGTTTTGGGCATTCCATATGTTAAGCAAACAAATGCTAACCTATAAAGAATTATTTTCCATTATATTCAAATTATTTCCATTATTCGGCTAAATATTATTTCAGTTCAAATTTGTACGTAAATTTTATTAACCGATCAATTATTACAAAATTATAAACTATTATGTGTATAATATTGTATAAACTGTTATAAACAAAAATAATTATTATAAACGAAAATAATATTGAATAAATGAAATAATTTAAATTTAATTTATATTTGTTTACAAAATTTTGCCAATATTACGAAAATGGCCTGGAATTTCACTAATGGAAGACTTAGGAAAATTCTAAATCACTTCCAATTTTTAAATTTTATTTACTATAATTTGTTTCAGAAACTCAATGATTTTCGTATAATATGTATATAATGGCTTTGAATTAATTTGTTATAATTTAAATTAATATGGCGTTTTATGTTTACATATATACCTAAAATTATTTTGCTATAATGTGGGTTAATTTTTAATATAAATAGTATGTATATGCAAATATATTATTATTACTAAATATTATAGTACAAGAGTCTCAACTTTATCATTTTAACATAATTTCAATATTATTCAAAATATTCATTTAATTTTAATTGTAAAATATTAAAAAGCATTATAAATGTTATATTTAAAACTGTTTTTCTCTCAATTTTGATGTAGAATTAAAAAAACATATCTAATTTCCATAATTTGAATTATATCATTATCTGTATCGGCCTACATTCTTGTATAATTTATAACAGACATAGTCCAATTCTATAGGTAACTAATACGTACAATAGCTCTATAGGTAGCTCAATAGCTCAATTATATGTATAGTACAAACCCATATCAATATAGGAGTGTACGATTAATATACGTACATAATAATTGTTCTGATTTTTTAACCAAATGCCTGCGCGCCCAATCCAAGGCAACACGAAAATTTCAAATTTTTGAGAAAGGCAAAAAGAAAACAAAAGAGAAGTAGCGGTGATTTTAATTATTTTTTTCGTTGTTTTTTTTTTTTTGCTTCTTCTTACTCTTTTTCTGACAGACCATAAAGTATATATGAATGTTTATAATGTTGTTCAGTTCAATTGTATTGTAAGTTATGCATTTATAATAGCAAAGATTTTTTTCAAAATTATTTACAATTCAAATAAGATTTCAATTCACTTTTCATTTCATTTGTAATTTATGCTTTTTATTCATTTACAATAACATTTCATAAAATATGCTGATCAAATATCCAAATTTTAGAAACGTGAGAGGAATTTTATTTTTAATTTTTTTTTGCTTTCGTATAAAAATGCAGACATTTTTATCTGCAGAAAGCCCAGAATTAATGAAAAAAAACGCAAAATGCAAAAACCGGTACACACTTAATTTTTTTTTTTTAAATACAATGTACTTTAAATTTTGCATTGGTAACAGGGCATACAACAAACACTTTCGCTTTAGAATTCGCTCCAATTTTACATCCGCTCCCTGTACACAAAAAGAGTATTAATTACGTAGTATATGAATTGCATTTATGGTATACACAAGTTTAAACGTACTGATTTTAAGTACTCGTACATACATACCTAGTATTTGTGTGCAAAAATTTATTTACTTAAAAATATTAAAACCAGTTTTTTTAACTTTTCAAATAATTAATTGAAAAGTTTTTGCTTTTTTTTTCTTCAAATTTTTTGATACCATATTATAAAAGTTGTACAATACTTATATGTAAGTAAAAGGAAAAATAGAGTTTACCACTTTAAAAATTTCTTAGTAAAAAAAAAACAAACACAAAATTAATTTTTAAAAACCACCTCAAAAAAAAACAAAAATTGTTATATTAACCTAAATAAACTGGCGAACAAGAAAAAATAAAAAACAAAATCATAATTTACACAAAAAAAAAAAGAACTGGTTCAATATTATGTAAAAGTTTACATACCATATAATTTTATTTTTTTTATATAAAATATAAATTAAACCAATTAATAAACCAAATGAATTTCAATAAAATTAAGGGCTTATAAAGTAGCAAATTTCAAATAATCAATTAGCATTACAAAACAGGTTACTTTTTTCATGTTCTTCCGCTGTCTACTTTTAGGGTGAGATATTTATCTTTAATAATTCAAATAGAGTTTGAACATGAGGGTCTGATCGTCTATCTCACTATTTTTCTCGGAAAGTGAGAAGAAAATGAGTAACTATCATCTCGTTTTTTTTTTTTTTTAAATTGTATACAAAAATTTTTCACTTTTTTTGTTGAAAGTGAACAATTCAATCGATAATATGAGAAAAAAATGCTAATCTAATTAAAATCTAATTTAAAAAAATGAGTAGTCTTATTGGAAAAGTGAAATATCAATTAGAAAATTATGAGAATGAGAAAAATTATGAGAGTGAATAAAAAATGTGTAAAAAAGTGAGATCCATGATCAGACTGATAATAAACAAGTTATAATAAAATTTACGTGTGTTTGGATTAACTTCACTTAAGATTGTTTTAATCGTATAATTCCCAAAAAAGTATGTATGTAACTTCGAAGAAATAGGTGGCAAAAAAATTTAAATAATTCAAAAATATAAAAATTTCAAATTTTTCTACAATTTTGCCACCTTTATACAATTTTGCCTACAATTTTGCCAAGGAGACGCGATATGAAAAATTTCAATAAAATTTATTTAAGATAACGGGTAATTGTTGACATTTTTCATATAATTATAATTTGAAAATAGCTTAAAATTTCAATACAAACAATATTAATTGTCAAAAATGAAGTAGAGATTGATTTTTTTTCAAGAATCTAGAATAGTTTCTGCGGATTTTTTCTTTCTCTATGAAATTTTTTGTGTAGCAGTTTTCTATTTTAAGGGATGTAGGATTAATATATCAGACAAACGGACAGATAGAGTTGCATAATATTTTTTTTTTGAAATGTGCTAAAAATAAGACAATGTAGTGTTGAGATTTATATGTACATACATACATACTTGTAAAATACTATAGGAATCCTTTAATCTGGTTTTTGTTTTTAACAGAAAAATTTCTAGTTTTTTTGTTTTATTTTTTAAAAATCGCGCAACATAAAAAATTATAAAAAAAAAAAATTTTTATTTTCAATATCATTTTTTCCTTTCCCTTTCATTAAATTTTAAATGAAAATTTTTATGTACGGAATTGAATAATCTACTCAAGTTTATATGTACTTAAAATTTAAACACAATAAACCTTTTATTAAAAAGTTTCAACCTTGGCCGAATATTGTAGTTAATAAATGAAACATTCAAGGACTTATATCTACTTTCGAATCGCTCTCCTGTCCTGTCAAGTTCCAATTTTTACATAATAATTTTCTATATACTTTCATAAAAAAAATCACACATGAAATGTGAACTTTTCAAATTTTATAATTAATAAATACTTAAAATATAAATTTAAATTAAATAAAAAATCAAATATACTAATTGTAAAATAATTTTCAATTTTATTTAAATTAATAAAATATTTATCCCCTTTTTGGATTATTTTATAGACAAATCCATCATATCAATTTGGTTTTGATGTAAAAGATGATGAATTTACAAATTATCAAAATCGTAAAGAAGTTCGTGATGGTAATGTTATAACTGGTAGCTATTCAGTTGTTGATTCAGATGGTTTTATTCGTACCGTTAAATATACAGCTGATCCAAAAGAAGGTTTTAAAGCTGAAGTTATACGTGAACCAACTGATATTGTTATTAAAATACCAACACCACCACCACAACAACTTTTAAGGCAGCCAGTACAAGCAGGTCCATCACAACATCAACATTCTCAACCACAATATCAACAATATAAACAACAACAACAACAACAACAGCCACAATATCAACAATATCATCAGTAAATCAGTAAAAATAAATTATATAAGCAAAAAAAAAAATTATTAATAATAATAAAAAAATAAAAATTATATAATTGGAAAAATATTTTTCTTATTTATACAAAAACAAAATAAATCAAGTTAGTTTTCCTTATTGTATTTAAAATTTATATTAAAATTAAAATAAAAATCTTATAAAGAAATAAAAATTTAAAATTTAAAATTTTCATATTAGCATATTTATATTTATAAATTTCAAAATTTAATCAACTATTATTATTTTTATACACCATACATTCATATATAAAATGTAGTATATTATAAGTCATAAATTTCATTTTGACTATACTATTTTCAAATAAATAAAAGAAATAAAATTTTAAAAATTTATTTTATAAAAAATTTCATTGAATAAATTTAATTAATAACAATGTACATTAATATAGTGAATATAAATTTTCACATTATTTACATTCATTCACATGTACATTAATTTAGTGAATAATTTGTGAATTTGATCAAAGTCTATATATTTTTTTTTTTAACTACGAATAAATTATAAAAATCCGCTGTATTAAATTAAGAATATTTTATGTATTATATAATTTAATTTTATTTTTTTGTATGTATTTTAATTTGGAAAAATATAAGTATACAATTTTGAATTTAAAAATTAAATAAGAAAGAAAAAATAAATTGAAAAAAAGAAACTTGTAATGTGATCTTAAATGAAAAATTAATGCAAAAAAATTTAATTGATAACAATAAAAAAAAGAAGAGAGAAGAAGAAAATAAATTAAATAAGATAAAAATAAAAAAGAATTTTTGTTAAATTAAAAAAAAAAATTGTTTGTTTTATTTATTACTAGAAAATAACAACAAAAAATAGTCACAACAGTCTCAGAAACTTACCTTAATTATACTTGAACTTAAAACCTAATTAATGATATTATTCGATTTTATAAAATTAAATCTAGGGAGTAAATCAATTCCTCTATTAAAATATACTTTCTTTTCAAGAGATAATATTAATATTCAGTTAGACAAAAATGATTTGTTAAATTTGAAATCTAATATTATTTTAAAATTAACAAATTCAAATACAAATGGTTAATAAAATTTATTAGTAAAAGTCATAAATTTTTATAAATCCTACAAAAAAAATGGCAACAAATGATAATCTAAATGTTAAAAAACAAACAATTGAAACAATTTTAAAAAACACGAGCAATTAATAGGAACTTTGAAATCTTTTAAAAACTATAAAATTTTTACATGAAATATAATAAGTATATTTGAATTTTACTATAATAATAGGAATACAAGACTTGATTAACCATATTTCTTGTTTAAAATTTGTAATTATTAATAATAAAAATTTTATTTTATAATTTTTCCTCAACTGAAAATGGTAGTCTTCTATATATTTTTATGTAAAATTTACTTTGCGTTCTAAACTTATTATTATTAATTTTAAGTCAATAATCATAAATAAGTAAATTAAGATTTAAAGAGATCTTTTTTTAATTTCTAGAGTTCCATAATTATAATAATTAATAATATAATTATTAATAAACATTATAATAATTAAATTAAATTAAAATTTTAAATTTCACTCCATATTTACTTAATAATTGTAAATATTTTCAATAGATGTTATATAAAAGATGACACACACACACATACACTAATTAAAAATATTATATAAGTTAAATTTATTTTAAAATCATTTGATTTTCAACTATTATTCAAATGTTTTTAAAACAATTTAAAATTAGTTAAAGAAAATTATTTAATACAAATGCAAATTCTTAGTCTCCTTAAATTTACATTATTATGTATAATTTAAAATAAAAAATTAATAACACAATTAAATCTTTCTAAAAATTAATAACACATTTTATTACATTTTTTCAAAATAATGCGTGCATTTAAAATAATGCAATTAATATATTAATTATTATTAATATATTATATAATTCAATATTATTGAGCAAAATTTTTTCTACAATAAAACCTTTGATGCATTTTAGCTACAAATATTGAATATTTTCAAAATTACTGTAAATACATATAATAAGTATATATAATTGCAAATTTAAACTATTACATAAAATTTTTGTATAATATTCTAATTCAGTTCAACGAAAATATTTAATCTAAATTTTCATAAGATAAAAAAGAAAATTTCATAAGATTTTAAAATGTTAAAATGATTTTTATATATATGTATATGTATGTATTATATATGTATGTATATTTAATGAAATTGAGATTTGTTTTTTTTTTTAATTTCATAATATTTTTTAATTTCTACTCTAATAAGCAGAATCTATTTTAATTAATATAATAAAAATAGTATACGTAATTTGGCGGCATAATTTATGCACTAAATATTTTATAAGATCAGAAATTACATATTATTTAGTATTTCTCTCATTTTGAACAGTTCTTATTTTTTATATTTATTTTTTACTTATATAAAATCATTTTATAATATTAAATTACAAATTTATATACGTATATGTATATATAATATTAAATAGCAGACGGTGAATAAATTATTTTTTTTTTTTTTATTTAAATAAATTCATAGATTTAAATATATATTAATTATATCATATAACAATGAATGCTGTATTTTTAAAGAGATCTCGTTTACTTAAATTAAACTTATAGAAAATATTTTTTGTTTTTTCTTTATCGAAAACAAATAAGGCAAAATTTTTTAAATTACATTTGGTTTTTATTTTCTTTTATTGAAATATTGCATGAAGGTATCTTGTTAAGCTATTTAAATAGTTTTATAGAAAAAAAAAATAATAAAAGTAAAATACAAATAAAAATTATGAAGTTTCATTAATATTGTTTTTCATTTCATGACTATTGAAATTTGAATCGTTATGAGTTTCTAAATGAAATTTAAGTTGTTGTTTATGTCTATATACTCTTGGACATAAATGACATCTAAATGGTCTTTCACCAGTATGTTTCGTAAAATGAATTCTAACTTTATAGGCTGATGGAAAACCTTTATGACAAATTGAACATTGATATGGTGCTGGTACACCAGTATGAGATAAATAATGATATCTTAATGATTCAATACGTTTATAACGTTTAAAACATTCTGGACAATAAAAGAAACCATCTTTTTCATTTAAAGTTTTTTCAATTGAAAGATAATATTTTTCATTATGATGTCTTCTAAATTTTATATTATTAAATTTAAATTTTGGTTTACATTCTTTATCAATTACTTCATTATTACTCACAACCTCATCTTGAGGAAATGCTTCTGGATCGGCATCTGTTGTACTTAATGAATCATCAGAATTTTTTGATATATTGCTTTTAATTGGTAAATTTACAGCAGCCAAAATAAATTTTGGCTTCTCCGGTATATAATCTTCTTTATATATTTCGATAGTTTTTTCTTCGCTTTTGTTTTTTTGAAATGAGAAATTAGAATTGGATTTTATTTTCTTATCACAACAATTATCCGTTCTTAAAATATCTTGCTTGGGACAAGAGACGACGTATTCTGAATTACCACAAATCGTTGAGGTAGATCCAGAGATTCTTGTGTCATTATCTGAATTGAAATATTCTGAACTATTATTGAGAATAAAAGATTCTTCATCAGAGCTTTCATATTTTTGAATTTTGATTTCAGGTTCTAAATCATTAGAATCTTCACTATAACTAAGATTTTCATTTTTCTTTTCGTTTTCATAAGATTCTTTGAATTTTGATGAAAATGTTCCCGTGTGCTCTTCTTCTTGTATTGTAGAATTAAAATCGTTACTAAAATCTTTATAATTCTCTAATAAAACATTTGATTTAGAGGAATCTTTTAAATGAATTAATGTCTGGCTATCTTTATCTAAATTATAATGTTCATTTATAAAATGATTTCTAAAGTCATCAAAATTTTGACTTAAAATTCCACATTGTAAACATACCAGATTAAATTCTACTTCAGATTCATTGTCATTTATAATAATTTCTCCACATTTATTGTACATACAATCTTCAATACAATTATATTTTAATTGTTCGGGATCTATTTCTTCTATTTCCATTTTTAACTAATTTATTTACAATTAAAATAACAACTTTTTACATAAACTAATTATAATTACGCTAGCAAGTATTTTCTTAAGAACTTCAAAAAAAAAAAACCAAAACAATCAAAATGTCAATGTGAAGTGTCAAAACCATTTGTTTAAATGACGACAATGCTGCCAGTGACATTTTTTTTTGAATTGGTAGCTAGGGTTATACAAAAATAAATTGACAATTTTTATTATATATTTTGGTCTTTTTTCCATTTTAATTTTTTTTTTATTTTAATCATATGGAAGACAAAACTCTTCTATATGATTAATTCACTTTCACTGACGTTAAGACTTTCGCAATTAAATACTGTTTAATTTTAATTTATTTTTACTTTTGACATATTGTAAATCAAAACATACAAACAAACTCTGTACAAGCTTTTAAGCTTTTTTGAGATGAAGGTTTAATGAATAAATAAATAATTAAATTTGGTGTAGAGAACTTAAGCTATCAATCCTTATACTTTTTGCAATCCATTTACATCTTGAAATTAGTTATGAGTAACCAAAACTGGGCACGAGTATTATAGATACTCGTTTCGTATTTTATCCTTATGATAAACTGGCAACTTCTTTCTTGTTTTTCAAAAGAACCAATGGAGGAATTCAAAAACTAATTTATAATACATAATTGGAAAAATTTTATACTTACATCCAAAATATAAAATTCATTTTGATTATTTCATCGCAAATAGTATATTTTATATAAAATAAACCTTATTTGGGCACTTATATAATTTTTGTAAGTATATTTCATGTAATTATAATTTTCGGTGGCATATCATTATTAACAGTTATATGATATTGTTAAAAAACTAATTCCCATTTTAGAAACAAATTTTAAATTACTTATAATATAATTGCGGAAATTACTTCTCCAAGCGAAAATCATCATTATCTTGTATGGCATAACTTAAGTTCAAAAAAATGGTGTGTATACCTGAGAGTATTTTGTTTGAAAACTTAATACAGCGCATTGCGACTTGGAAAAATAATATTCAATAAGAAGTAGCAGAAATGGAAAAGTAAGAAATGAATATATTAGTGTACATATGCACTTATTGTAATTGTTAAATGTTGACTCCTTCATCTTCTTTTAGACAAGATTTGATGACAACTTTTAATGACTATCGTAATTTACAATTTACAGCAAGGTTGTGCATAATTATTTACTGTTGCATGTGACTACTTACCCACATATTATTCCAGTTTCCAACACTTTCATAAGGTAGCTTCTATAATCCAACCTATTATGCTGCCTATCCATTATTTAACTTGGTCCTTTGACACATTGAAAATATCGCAAGTTCTGAACACTTTTAATGGTTAGGACTAAATTACTAACCATTTGAAAATTGAAACTTGCTTGGAAAAAATATTTGAAAAAAAAATTTTAATTTTTCTAGACGTAACTTTTTATGTTAAATGATAGATTACATCATGTTGTTTTGTACAAGTTGAAGTGGCTATCTTAATCAGCATGTTTTAAATGTGTTTAATAACCAAATTGAATAGTGGATGAAATCTAAAAAATTAGATTTAATATTTGCGAATATGCTAAAGTTACATAAATTTTTTGAATGTTAGAATTAAAGAGAACAGAAAATTTTTTCTATTATTTTAATCTTAAATTAAAAAAAAAATTAAATAAAAATGTACAGTTTTTCTGTTTCTTGGCTTTTTTTTACTTCATTTATGCTTTTTTATTTTTATTGTTCTCTTTATTTAATCCTACATTGATTTGAAACACATTTTTATATAGATACATATAGATACACACATATTATTATTACGGTTCTTTAAAATATAAATTAAATATATAATATGTATATATATATATATATTTTAAAATGTGTTCATTATCCCCAATTTTGTTGTTTATAAATTTCGGGATTCAAGATATTTATAAGTACACTTAAAAATAATTAGATATGATTTTTATATTTTACATTATAAATTTTTGTTTTAATTATTTATATATAATTTTTTTTTTATAGGTAAGTAAAATTTACACAAACCCGAACTTAAAAATTATAATATAATATTAATTAACAAATAATAAAAAAAAAAAAAAGAAATTTTTATTTTTGTGTTTCTAATCTTATGTAATTAATAAATTCTTATTTTTTTCATTTAACATAAATCTTGATTTTATTTTAAATATTATTTTATTTATTTTTTTCTTTAATATATGTATACATATATATATGTGGTTTAATAAATATATACCTACATATATATATATTTAGATAATTAATTCATTGAAAAAAATAAATTAAATAATATTTAATAATTTACAAATATTTACATAAAAAAAAAAAGAAAATCAATTTCATAGTTATTTTTGACTAGATCAAACTCATCTCATTATATATTTTAATACATAATGATAATTTTATTTTATTTTCTATGAAATTATTAAATTATAATACAAAATTTAAGTTTTTGTAAAAATATTTTCAATTTTTATAATTGTTCAATTTTATTTTAATGCTTTTTAGCATTTTTCGTTATTAAAATGAAAATTATTTGTTGTATAATTATATATTTTACAATTATTTTCAATTTTATTATTATGTAAATTAATATGTTTTTATGTTTATATATTCATGTTTAAATACAGAAAAATTAGATATATTAAAAAAAAAAAAATTCATGTAAATATAAATTTAAAGGGATTGTGATTTATGGGTTAGTATATAATACGAAAAAAAAGTTATGTAATATATTTATAAAATTGTATAAGTTTTTTGTTTTTGTAATTAATTAAAGTTAAAATCTTAAAAATTATAAAAAAATTTTTTATGAATTTGTATAATTTCATTTGTTTTAGTAATATAAATTATATTAATAGATTACAATTTCAATAATCTTAAAATTTAATAATTATATAATTGTTATTTTTTGTTTTTAATATGTTTAAAACGTTAATTATAAACTTTTTTTTATATTTTATAATATAATATTTATGTAAGATGGTCTTAAAAAAAAATATTTAATATATTTTTTTTCTTCTAATTTTTTGGTTATACAAGTGATATACAAGTGATTGCCCAAATTATTATACTAAAAATTACATTTTAATATATCTTGATGTTTTTTTTAATTCTTTCTTTTTCATATTTTAGATAAAAATAAATATATATATTAAATGTATAAATAAAAATTGTATTTATACACTTGAATATATTTATTAATTCATTTTATATGTATAATATAAAAATATATATTATTTTGACTTTATTTTTCTCGTATTTTGTTGATGTTGTTGTTTATTGTTGTTCTTATAATTTATTATTTTTTTTTGTAATCTTCAATTCATGTGCATCCGATTTTATTTTTTTTTTATAAAAATGCAATCATTTGTTGCATTTGTTTTTTATATCTTCCGCAAATTTTTCAATATTATGAAGTTAAAATTTTGCGTGATGATGGTATTATTTTGCTTGTTTAATTTTTCATTTAAGTTTTTAAGTTAGTAAGTTGGTGTAATTTATTTTTTTTTATTTTAATTTGTTTTTGATACTCTACAAATTTTCTAAATAATTATTTTATTTTTCTCTTATTATATATAATATTTTATTATTTAATTAAAAATTCAGACCAAAACAAAAAAGCATTTTTTTATTAATTTTATATATAAATTTTTTTTTTTTTCATTTTCTTTTTTTATATAACCTAAAACTATAAAATTATTTTAGTTGTTCATATTTAATTAATATAATAATATTTATATTTTGTATAAATGTTACAAATATAATTGTATATATATATATGTATATATATTTCTAAATTTTGAAATTAATTGTTAATAAATAAATACATAAGTACATATAATTTTTTTATTTTGTTTTTTCATAAATATTACAAATGTGACCGAATATTTTGGTTTTTAAATGTTTATTTGAAAAAGATTTCAATATAATGAACTACAAATTTTTTTTATATTAGTTTTAAATGAATTAATTAAATAATAAAGAAAATAAATGTAGTAAATAATAATATAATTTTGTGTTAGTAGACAAAAAACAATATCAATTTTAGTTCGTTTCGTTTTTATTTTATTTGGTTTTGTTTTATAAATCAGAATAATATAATTATTAAAAATCACAAAAAAAAAAAAAATAAATTAATTAATTGAAATAAAATTAGTACGTATATATGAAGTAAAATGAAATTAAAACAACCTCTTTTTGTTTTATTTGTTGAATTACTGTACAAAATTTGTTCCAAAGATAAATTAGTTAGTTATAAATTTATCTTTCATTTTTTTTTGTTTGTAATCCAGAATATAGAAAATAAAATGATAATAAAAACAAATAAGGAAATAAATAATCAATTTTAATGTTTATAAAATATTTATTTATAACATAAAATGTTGATCTTTATTAATATTTTTTTTCATATTGTTTTGTATATTTTATTTATCTTCAAACTGATGAATATAATTTAGATTTAAAGAAATAATTAAAAAATTAAAAAAAAAATAATTAATTTTGGGAGGATTGTTTATTCCAAAAATTAAATATGAATTTTATTTTTTAATTATTAATTTATTTTTTTATACACTTCAAAAGTTATACAACTTTTTTTTTTCATTATTATTTGAAATATTTATGGGGATAAAAAAAAATGATTTTTTTTTTCCTTTTGAATTATTGGTTTTACAAAAAAAAAAAGTATTTTTTAACAATTCGCTAAACAATAAAAATTGTTTCAAAAAAAAAATTATAATTTATTTCTTTTTTAATGATTTTTAGATTAATAATCTGTGTGCCCCAAAACGCTATACATCAAACGGTTGAATGAATTGCTTTGGCGGATTTGCTCATCAGTTGGATTGTTTACCTGCATATTTACGCCGTATTTAAATTGTTATATTTTTACCGATTATATTTTATATAGTTGATATTGTTGATTTAAAAAACAAAAAAAAAGAAAAAAAACAATTGATTTAGTTTATGTAATTTACATTAATTTAATATTATATTTTATTTCATTAATTAATAATTATAGAGTAGCATTTATTAAGTAGATCAATATAAGGTATATTGATTTACTTAATTATAATTTAATTAAATATAATTTACTTATTATAATTAGTATATTTAGTATAAAAAATATAAAAGTTCAAATTTATGTTACAATATAAAATTAATTTTAAATTAATATAAAATTTAATGGGATTAATTCTTAATTGATATATGAATCTGTATTTTATACTTTAAATACAATTTTTAAATAAATAATTAATATTTTTTTTTATATAAAGCAGTTTAAGAACTTTTATATTATTTATTATTTTAGATTATATATTTATTACCATAAAAAAAATTAATGTTGTGATAATTTATGAAATGTATGTGTGTGTAAAATATTAAGATGAAATTTACTGATTTTATAATTAACGATACAAATAAGTATTGAAATTTTTAATTACATTTATGTTAATCACAAGACTAAATTAAATATTTTTTAATTATTTTATGAAAAAAATTTTTTTTTTTTAGTTTATATTCAATGTATTATCAAGATCTTGTGAATTAGTTCCCGCTCTTAAATAATAAAAATAAATTATAATTTGAAAATTTGAAATTTTGCAATAAAAATATTGATAAATTGAAATAAATATAATTTTAATTAATTAATTTAATTAATATAAAATTTAATTAAGAGAAATTTCTTTGAAACATAATTTAAATAATTGTTAATTCCAGTCGTAATTGTTGACTTGAGTCAATTGATAATAATATGAAAATATTTGTAAATTTAAGAGTCAGAGAATAGTAATAAGGGTTTAATTTTATATATTTTATTAATAGTAATGTGTTAAAATAAGTGATGGGCATTTATTATTGTCATAAGACAATGATTGACAATATTATCAAAATATTTGTAAATTTAAGAGTTAGGGGATTCATTTTCAGGTACTAATTTAATTATTTTTTTTTATATTATTTTTGGACATATCACAAGATATTAATTTTTAAATTTCATGTGAAAATATGATATGATGATATGAAATGAATATTGAACATGAAAATGTTATTTGTATAATGTTAAAAAAATAAATATATAATAATTATTTTATAAATAAATATTTGCAATATAAGCAAATTAAATATTTTTGCGTATAAAGCCAGACCATTATATTCCATAAAATATTTAGTTTTTTTTAGATTTTAAATTAAGTTAGATGTTACTTTCAGCTGCTTGCTCGGCATCTCATATTATTAAAAAAAAAAATTTCTTTCTTCTTAGATTTCTATAATCAATCGGTATTTTTTATTTTTGCTTTTACTCACATATAACGACGGGGAGTGTGTTGCTGGACGTGGTGATATGGGCTTCTAAAATTTATAATATAGGTAAAATTATTTTCTTTTTTTTTTTTTGTGTAAAATTTTCTCTATCTTTATATTTTTTTAAACTAATAATTTTATAATCCAAATCTTATATATATATATATTGTGCATATAATGTATATGTATATGAATAAATGTATTTAACAAAATTTATATATTATTCTAAAATAATGTTATGTTTATTAAAAATAAATTTTAGTGTTTAAATTGCGCTTAAAAATTACTGACAAAAAATTAGATTTTGATAAACATCTAAACGATTCTAAAAAATAGTAATGATTAAAGAAATTATTTTCTAAATTGTTAATAAATAATATTATTAAAAATATATAAAATATTAGAGATTAGATTAGATTTTTTGAAATAAATAATTAAAATATAAAATGAATAACAATATTAGTATAGATTTTGTTTTAATTGTTTTTATTTTCGGAAAATCTTAACGAAAGTGTAAATTAATTTTATGGCTATTTAAAATTTTGATTAAAAATTTTTTTTGTTAAAAAAAACTTTTAATAATTTGCTATAATTTTAATATTGAAATTTTAAGATAAATTTTGTGTTTATTTTTTCTATATGGTTTTGATTACCTTATTTTTTTTTATATAAAATGTATATTTTTTTGTATAATACAAATTTTGTTTTCGTTCTTTTTTTTTTAGGTTTATTTTGTATTAGAGTATTTTGTATATAAATATCATATATATACTTTCATATAAATATATTTTTATATATATAAATATATTGAAAAGCATACACCGATGCTTACCTTTCCTGGAACCATCCTATTTGCAGCAGTGGGATGGAACACTTTAGGTTGAACTGGATTAGCTTCTTGTACATAATCATTTTGAATGCCTACGCCGTATCCTTCTTCTTGTAAAGCTCTAAAGGTCTCACTCTTTGATGGATCGAAAACTACAGTTTTTTTATGGCTAATATAATTTTTAAGTAGTTATACGAATATGAATGTTGATTCATCAATTTTGAATTTGATTTTATATATATTTTTTATTTTAGCAATATTTGGCAGTCATATTGGATGTTTGATTTTGAATTTTTTCATGATCCGCATATTATAAACGCATTTGATCATACGATGCAAACGAGCAACAAAATGTTTGGTCCAACATAATTATTGCACATAATCATTTAAAAAGCAACATAAATTTTTGGTAGGCAGCAACAAAAAAATTCGATGATTTTGTAGAAGTTTATAAGATGTTTGTTTTTTTTTTCGTATTATTATTACGTTATCGTGTTGTTTCAATATTGTATTTAAAATAAGAGTGAGGCGCGCGTTGTTAAATATTAGTTTTTTTTTTATTCAATACAATTTTATTTTATGTTTTCAATTCACAATTTTTTTTAGATAAAAGATAAAAGAAAAAAAAAAGTATGGTCATACATGTTAGATTACTTATTTAGTTTTTCTTTTTTTTGTAATAAAAAAAATAATATCTACAATAAAACTATTATTTACATTATTAATAAATAAATATTATGTATATATTATTATGTATCTAAAGTTATTAATTTATTAAAATTGTATAAACAGTAAAGAAAATGTGTTAAAAAATGTAAGATCAAAGCCAGTGCTAAGTGTTTTTTTTATGTATAAATAAAGCATAAATAATTTTGTTGTTTTTATATATATATACAATTGTAAATATTTTATGTAAAAAATAATCAATAATATAAGTAAAATCAACTTAATGTCTAAAAAATATATTCAATATAATGATATAAAAAAATCAATCAAATTTTAAAAATACTACAAAATTTCAAAAACATGGTATAAATAAATAAAAAACCTTTTTAAAGTTTTAAAAAAAAATGTTTATAAGAAGATTTATGTGGATAATAATAAAGATGATTATACTGATTTTGAGGATTGCTTGCGTTAAGATTATAAAAAAATTATATGATATATATGTATGGTATAAGTTTTTTTAAAATTAATATTATTTTGTAAATAACAAAAGTAAAAAAAATATCATTCCCAAAATATCCTTATGAAATAACAAACTACATATATGAAAATCGAATTTCAAAATTATTTCAAATTATTATTTCAATTTTTTCGCTTTATAATTTTGTAGAAATTTATATTATAAAGTCATATATGTACCAAAATGTATATTTGTTGGAGAAAATAACAAAAAAAAAAAAACAATATTCTAGTAATCATAAAATAAATAAATAAAACTATTCAAAATTTAAACATGTATACATATCTAAACATAATTATTAATTTAATATTTTATATTGTAAAAATTCATAGTTATTGAAAACAATCCTATATGTATATATAAAATATAATAATTTGAAAAAGAATAAATACTAAAAACAAATTAAATTAACTAAAATGGAAAATAAATAATATAAATATATCACATACAAGAAAGACAAGTCTTTTTAAAAAAAAAACATTCAAGAGTAAAATTGAGAAATCAAATTTTTTAATGTAGTAATTTTTCGATACTGAAATGTTTGATAATATTTAAAAAAAACTTATGTTTAAGAGCTATATGTATTTTGAAAAAAAAATATTTTATATTTTTAATGTTATAGTGAGATTATATGATATTTTTATATTAATATTATGTACATTTATGTTGTTATTATTTTACTTTAATTCATTTTTATTTTATATTCATAATTATTTTTTCTGTTTCTGTTTCTGTTTTATGTTGTATTGTAATTTTAATATTGAAATTTATTGTAAAATTCAATAATATAATTATTGAATTTTTATAAAATTTTTAAAAAATCATGTACGTAATATAAATATTGTACATAATATCAATATAAGTATTATAAATTTATAACAATAATAAATAAATAAATAAATAAGTAAATTTAATAAATATATTAGTTCTATAGAAATAAAAAAAAAATTAATCAAACAAAACTGAAAAATTTTTAATTTCAAAAATTAATTATAAATCAAAAAAAGATACATGTTAAATATGTATTACGAAAATATTTTATGTAAATATTTTTTATATTATGATTATAATTTATCAATCATGATTTAAAAAGCTGTATATATACATATATATATATATATATTTAGTATATAAAATATTATAAAATGTTTAATAAAATGTATTCACTTAAACGTAGAAAAAATTTCTTTAAGTTTATAATAAATTGTTTATAATATAAATTTGTATATTAAAAACAAAATTTATTTTATAACTATAATATTCATTTGTTTAAAAACAATATTATCATATAAGTAGCTAATAAGTAGCTAATTTTTTATAATGTAATGTATAAGTTAAAAAAAAACAAGTCTATCATACAAATACAATTAAATAAGTATTTGAATTAAAAAAGAAAAGGAATAATATTTTTCATTTTTATCATAATAATATAAAATCCATATTCTATTAGATTGCATCATATGAGGTGAATGGTATATTATTCAAAAGCTTCAATATAATGTAAAAAATTGTAAAATTTCAATTTTCGAAATTGATTTTATTTCTTATAATTACAAAATTTTGAATACTATACCCTCACCACAAGATGTGATGCATCTAGGAGAAATATGTAAATAAGTAATTCAATTTAAAAATAATTTTAAAAATATTTAGATTAGAGGGTCAATTCCAAAAATCACATCGACAATAATTAATAAAATTGTTTTCATATTTCAAAACAATTAACAATATTGAATAACAAAAATTAAGAAAATTAAGGAAAAAAAAAATATTTTTTTAATAAAAATGATATTACTTCTCTTTTTTATAATTCTGTGTTAATTTCAATATTAAAAACAAAGTCCTTTAGAAATCCTTAATATGAAAAAAAAAATATTGGTAACATAATAATTGTTTACCAATACCATTATTTTTGATTTCTTTTTATTGTTTTATTCAACAAATTTTTTTCTTTTTTATTTTCAAATAATGTTATTAATAATATGTATTAGGTTATTTATTTGAAAAACGAATAAAATTAAATGATTGTTTATTAATTTACAAAATTATTGTAAGTAATATTTGTACATATAAATTGTCTATATATTTATGTACATAATTATGTAAGAAAAACACGATTAATATGAAATTTCGCCTCTTCTATTATTTATAGTTTTTTTTTTTTTAATATTTTTTTTTTATTGTAGTGAAAAACCACGAAGTCGTTTCATATTTTTATCTTGTTCTTGTTGTTGCTGTTTTTCTTTTTGTTGCTCCAATATTTTACGTTTTTGTTCCAGGAAAGATAGATCGATGAAAATTCTAATTATATATTATTAATTTTATATATTTTTTTTTATTATTTTTATTTTAAATTAATATTTAAATTTTCAATTCTTTTTAAATATATAACCATATTTTTATAGAATTAATGTTAAATTTTATGAAGGAATTGTTTTTTTAGTTTAAAATATTTGAAATGGGTATATTTAAAATCCAATTATTAAATATATTTACAAGGGAATTTATTAAATTAAAATCAATATAAAATTAATATTTTATGTTTAAAATTATTTAGAGGTTAAAATTTAGAAATAATAAGTATTATTTTTCTTTTTGTTGTTGTTTTTTTAAATTATTTATATTAAATTTATTATCTTAATTTAAAAGGAAAAAATTATATATTTTTTTTTAAATAAATTATAATAATTAAAAAAAAATTGTATAAAATTATATAAAAATTAAATGTTCCAAGCATATTAGATAACTAATTTAAACGGGATTTGAATATTTCTTACCTTTGGCAATTAATAATTAAGTTATAATAAGTTTAATCATAGTTTTAGAATAAATCTTAAGCACATGAATATATCCAGAATTTATATTAATTAATTTGGAATATTAGATTTAATTTTCATTAATTATAAATATAAATTAAAAATTAGATTTAATTTTTAATTTATATTTATGCTTAAGACTTTTTCCAATTTATTATTTAATTATTAATATTGTTATGGATATTTCCAATACAGTGATTATAGTTTCATCAGTTATAGTGTTTAATTACTATTATTAATATTATTATTATTATTATTATTATTATTATTATTATTATTTTTATTATTATTTTTATTATTATTATTATTATTATTATTATTATTATTATTATTATTATTATTATTATTATTATTATTATTATTATTTTTATTATTATTATTATTATTATTATTAATATGATATATAATATAAATTAATTATTAAAAAAATTGTTTTTATTTAATATAAGATTTTGGAATTTTTATTTAATAAATTCATATTAGTTCAGGTACTGTTATTATTATGATTTTTATTATAATTAAAGGTGAAAAAATAGCTTGGAACTGGTTCCATAAAAATTACAAAACAAGTTATTATTTATTGAATTTAATTATAATTATTATTAATTATCATTATTATTATTATTATTAAAATCCTTTATTTTCACTAGATCTGTCCAAATAATAAATAAGTAATTGTTCAAATTTTATAACAGAACAAATTAATTTTAATAATGGAAATTCGCAGTTTTAGTTCAAAATTTTAAATTTTATAAAGAAAACTAATTTTTTTTTGATTATTTTGGTTTACTTGTAAAATAGGACTAATAAGAATATCATATTAAAAATTGTAATTTTGGCAATATTAAAGGAATTTCGGAAAAAAATTATTTTTTTGAAGAAATTAATTAGTTATTATTGCCGAAACAAAATTAGCAAAAAATAGAATGTAAAAAGAAGAATTTTTATATTAATTTTTCGTTTTTTTTTTTAGTATTTTAATATTAACGTTTTGTCGTTTAAATTGGAAGAAAAAAAATCTACAAGAGCAACAAAAATACATAAACAACAACTAACAGAGCAAAAATACAAAATTAATGAAAAAAAAAAAATAGTTTAATTTTACTTTAATTTTAGTTTGGTTTTTTTTAATTAAAAATGTAAAAATAAATTTACATATCTATGAAAATAAGGATTTCTAATAAGGGTGGTAAAAATTTTAATAATTAGTATCTAATATTGCTTGGATTTATGTGCAATTTGTTTAGTTTTATTATTTTTTAATATTTATGTATTAATTAAATGTATATATATATATATGAAAAAAGAAAATGTTTATTATAGTTGATTTATCGAAAAAATTTTGTAATTTTATATAATTTAGTATTTTTGTTTTTTTTTTTATTTTTGTTCAAACAATTTTCTACTTATAATGAAATATATATATATCTTAAATTTAAATTTATATATGCCAATAAAATTGTTTATAATAAATTAGTATTAGTAAAAATTAGAAATGATTTAATTATATATATATATATTTTCTATAAATTATATAATATAACTAATATGTAATATCTTTTATTCAAAAGTATTTATACAATATGAAATTTGAATGTAATTACGTTTATTATACGAATATTATGTAATTAATAATAATAATGAAAAAATTCTCAATTGAATTCAATCTTTCAGAAAAAAATAATGAAAACATTAAATACATTTTATTTTAAAAATTAATTTAATAAATTATACATACTATATAGAATAAATATAACTAAAAATTTCGTATTATAATTACGTGAAAAATTTAATGTTTTTACTTTGTACATGTAGTAAAGTTATTAATAAATGCTCATTATAATATGATATTAGAATGTATATAAAAAATATTATATAATTTAATTTATTATAAATGTTAAATAAAAATTGTAATACAAAATTTATAATACGAATAAAAAGAAAAACTGTATGCGTTTATTTCAAAAACAAAATAGGGAATAGCTAAGTTCATTAATTTATGAATATATAAGTTGGGAATTCAAAAGTTAATTAATTTAACAAAATTATGTAAAATATGTAAAATTTGTAAATACATAATGTTGATTTTTATGAAAAGAAAATAATTTCAATTATTTTTTAGTTTAATTAAAGTATTATTAAAAATTATATTTGAATTTGTAATGAAATTATGAGAGACTGATTGTAAGATTAAAACTTTTTTAAATACAAAGTATGTATCACTACTACCCACTTATGCAAAAAGAAAAATAAAATTCAAATCTATAAACAAAGAAAATAAAATATATTTTCAAAAAATGAAGATTAACTAGAATTAATAGACGATTTAATAATAATTTCAAAATGAAAATAAAAAAAAAAAATTAAAATTATTTGATGGTGTTTTTTAAAAAAAAAATTTTGTTTTTACATTGAAAAAAAAAAAATTGGTGTTTACCCTTCAAGTTTTGATGGCAATGGCCGATTTAAAGGGCTGCGTTTAGTAGAATTTCGATTACTTGATCTATATTTTGGGGATTTTTTTTTTTTTGATTGATACCAAATTATAATTTGAACAACAATATTTATGTTTTTTATTGATTTATTTTACATAGTTTGTTTTGTTTTATTGTGGTTTTGTTTTTGATTTTGCGCAAAATAAAAAAAGAAAAAAATAATATAATAATTTTATATATATGAAGAAAAAAAAAATTAATAAAATATACATTAATAATGTTTTATTTATGGAAATTTCATATATATTATATATTTTTTTTTTTATAAAATATATAAATTTTATTTAATTTACATATTATAATTTAAATGTATGTATATAGTTATTAAAATTAAATTTTAATTGAGAAGAAAAAAAAATGTAAAAAAAAAAATAACACTTAATTTTCTAAATTTTTATTTATATAATTAAATTTCTTTTGAGAATTCAATTATATACTTTATATAATGTATAATTTATACTTTTCAATAATTAAATTTCATATTGATTTATATTTTTGATTGATAAATTTTTTTTACAACCAATTAATTAAAATAATATACTACAATATTTTTATAATATTGTATATCAATGGTAATAATGTATAAAATTTGAAGTAATTTATTAAAACAATTATTAAGATAATTTAAGAATAAAATATTGAATATTTTGTGTTAAAATAAGTACATTAAATATATTATTTATATTATACATGTAATCTATGCATGCTAACATCTAAATATCTGCAATAATTTAAATTTAATCTTTTTTAAAAATAAAATAGACAACAATTGTATAATTACAATATTTGAGTTTTAAATTTACTACACAACCAATTTTGTTAATGAAAATAATATCGAAAATATTGGAAAGCAATATTATCTATTTAATATAATTAAATGCATAATTATATAGAGAAATATTTAAATTTTTAAATATTACAATTATTTACATGCAATACAAAATTATAATAGAAACTAATTAGCCTTCCTTTTTTTTGGCGGTGAAATAACAAAATTTAAATCACCATTAACTTAATTATTTCTGATTAAAATCATTAAAAACTTTTTAATCTTTTATAATTTTTTTTTTGTTCTCAGTTATAAAATATGATAGGTATTTTATAAATTATTACTATTGACATACACTATATATGTATTTGCATAAGTTTAATACATCTATCTACTTAAATATAACTAAGTAGCCAGAAAAAAAAAATATATGTATATAAAAAGTTATAACAATATGTTTTTATTATTAATAGTTAAAACATCAAATAAATTGAATATTTTACTTACGGAACTGTTTGTCTGATTGTGCTTTCAATATTGCTATCAGAGTAGAGACCAATTGGTGAATTGAATTGCTTATGAAAAACCTATTGAATAATTTTTTTGAATTTATTAATTTTACATTTAATTTATATTGTATTAGCTTATTTTTGAATTAATATTGGATTATTGTTTAAACATTAATAAATCCATAAGAAATTTTAATGGAAAAATTGGCTTTCTCTCACTTTTTAAAATATTTAAGTAGATTAATTTTATTTTTTCAATTTTTCATTCAAGTCAACATTAATTTAAATACTTTTAATAAATTTTCAAATTATACAACGAGCTAAATTCATAAGCATTATATACTCTTATTAAAAACTTACTCTTCCAGAATGAGCATCTTCTCCAACTACTTTATGCAACATTGTGTCAGCGACCTACAAAATATAAATTATTTAGAGATTTTATCACTTAAATGAAAATTAAACTGAAAAACAAAAATATTAAGTATTTACTCTTTGTTTCATAAGAACATCATGATAATCATGTCCTGGTGCAGCACGTACAGCTGGGTTTGGGTAATATCTCAAATATGATTCTGTAGTTGGGGGATCTTTCTTAACTTTGGCTCCAGGAAGAACTAAAGGAGTTGTTCTATAGGGCTGAAAAAGTGAAAATATTTTTTTAATAAATATTAAAAATTAAACATTAAATACATTTTATTTGTGTCCAAAATTTAATGATATATTTTGAAATAGAAAAAATAGAACCAATTTAAATTGGATAAGTTTTTTTAATATTTAAAAAAAACAATTAGAGACTCCACAGGTTGTAATACACATATTTGCACAATTATAAGTACATATGTATGTATATTTTTATAGTTAAGTTTTGACCTTATTACATTATAAAATGTTTTTGATATTAATTTTTCTACAATAAGTAAGATAATTTATCAATCATGGCATATTTGCGGGGTTAATGGGTGACAGTATTTTTAAAGACTTCTATTTTTATTTTATGATATACATAATATAAAATTCTTAATTATAGCGGTATGGTTGCCACTCATAAATAAACAAAAAAAAAATATTTTTCTAAAAATATCCTTATTCTTAAAGCTTTTTGAAAATGTTTCTAGAAATATTTAATTTCATTTTAATTGAAAGCTCCTTCTAAAAAAATATTTTCTTACTCTTGGCACAAAAAAATTCAAGAGAATGAATAATAAAAATTAAAATTATAATTTTCAGTTTATAATTATCGTTTTTAAATTTAACGTCAACGGAAGTCAAATATTGTTCGGAAATATAAAATAAAGCCATTAATAATTTACAATCATAGAATCCAATATCAGTGTGAGTAATCAAATAGGAATAAAGAAACTTGTCAGAAATCTTACATAGTAGGAAGATACTAAATATAAAATTGTTATTTGTCAAAAGCATAACATTTTGAAGAATAATATTTCGATCCCCTTTACAAACTGAATTTAATAATATCGAATTCATAAAATTTTTACGATATTATTCATGTTCCGATGTCAAGCCGGTAACATTTTATAACATCGTTGTCAAATTTTAATTTAATGAGCAATTTAATTTATTTCACTGGTCAGTAAATTAGAACATTCAAGCGCTTCAAAATAATGTAATTAAAATTACAATTTCATTTAATACCTGAATAACTTTTCCCAAAAAAGTACAGAATTCGGAGTAAACCGTTTATAATTTAAACTTAAACCAAAATTTTTGTAGTTCAGGTATTTGCCGCTACATACTACGACATCGACACTCGAAATTTATTATAGGTTTCAATTTCATGTGTCACTATTAAGTGTCACTAAAAAACAGCTGCTGTCACATATTTATATTTACATTTTCCCGCTAAATTCAGTCGGTGCTCAATATGTAAAGTAATTTAAAACTTCAAGAGAACATTAATTATTATAACAACAGTTTAATATAATTTTAATTATCTAGTTTGATCCCAAATGATTTCTTGATTTAAAATTTAAGTTATTTTTTAAAAACAATTTAATTAGTTAAACATGTCCGTTCGCAGATCTACAAGGCATTCAATTAAAGAATGCGTAGAAGTTTCCGATGATGATATAGAAAATTATTGTATAAATACTCCAAGAAGGAGAACCTCATCAAATATGTTAAAAAAAGCAAGCATGAGTGAGCATCGTACACCAGTTTCAAACAAGAAGCGTCAGACAAAAGATTATGAAAATGAACAAACCCAGAGCTTAGATGTTTCACCTCCGAAACAACCAAAATTTACAAAATCACCTGAAAGTCTTTTTAGTCCTTCGAGATTAATCGAAAGGTTAAGCATAGAAGATGAAGATGAGGAGGAGTCTGAAGAATATAAAAACATTGCAGTAGTAGAGGCGCCCAAGGCAATCAATAAGTATCATAATGCTAGTAAAGTGCTAAGCAGTGGCGAAACTAATATATTGCCTGGGCGTGAAAAAGAATTTGCAGAGTTAGAACAATTTTTGAATCAACATATTGAAAATGAGACCTCCGGAAGCTTATATGTTTCAGGGCAACCTGGGACTGGGAAAACTGCTTGCATTTCAAAATTGTTGAAATGTGAAAAATTTTCTCAAAAGTTGAATAAAGTTTACATAAATTGTACATCGATTTCAACAGTTGCCAGTATATACAAAAAAATTAAAACAGAACTTAAAATTAAATCAGCAGGAAAGACTGAAAAAGAAAGTTTAGCAGCAATTGAAAAGTATTTGAAAAGTAATCATAAGCAAATATTATTAGTTTTGGATGAAATCGATCAACTATGTAACTCTAAACAATCAGTTTTGTATACAATATTTGAATGGCCTTCAAAAACGCACCATAAAATTATATTAATTGGTATAGCAAATAGTTTGGATTTAGTTGACAGATTGTTAGTACGATTGAATGCTAAATGTAATTTAAGACCGAAATTAATGAACTTTTCGTCATATTCTAAACAACAAATAATTGATATTTTCAAATCTCGATTAGAAGAAGCTAATGTTATAGATATCTTTCCGCCAGCAACAATTCAATTACTTGCTGGAAAAGTTGCTTCAATTAGTGGTGATATAAGACGTGCTCTCGATATTGGTCGAAGAGTAATTGAAATGGCTGATAGAGATGGTAAAACAGATATAAATATAAAAGACTTGGATTTAGCTAATGCTACCCCAAATGAAAATGAATCATCTAAAAAGATCATACCAGATGATAATAAAGAAAAAAATAAACCAGTTCAAGTAAGACAAGTTGCTTCTGTCTTAAATAATGTATATGGAACATCTCAGACACTTAATAATGACTCTGATTATAATTTTCCTTTGCAACAAAAAATTTTATTGTGCAGTTTACTTTTGATGTTACGAAAATGTAAGAATAAAGATATTACAGTTGGTCGTTTACATGATGTTTATAGACGAGTGTGTGCCAAACGAAATATTCAATCAGTTGATCAAGCTGAGTTTGCAAGTTTATGTTCACTTGTTGATACAAGAGGTATAATTAGATTAATAGCAAAAAAGGAACCAAGATTAAGTAAAATTACCTTGCAATGGGATCAAACTGAAGTTACAGATGCATTAAAAGATAAACAATTGATTGCAACGATTTTAGATGACGATTCCTGTTTGGGAGGACGTTGATTTTTAAAGTAAATTTTTTAAAATAATATAGGTTAAAAATTTGTAACTGGACAATCCATTTTAGTTTTATAAATTTATTTTAATTTATTTATAATTTTTTTTTTTTTGAAAATCAAATTATTAACCCAATAATTCTTGATTGACGTAAACATAATAAAAATGAATTTTCAAAAATAATTTAAAAAATATCAATTTCAGATTTTTATTTGAGATATAGGGATTTGTATGGAAATATTGTTATATTGGTTTTTAATTTAGGTTTTTGATGTAAGCATTTACTTGATGTAAGTTTCATATACGATTCATAATTCTAATTACGGAATGTGTTTATCAATATAGTCTTATTTCTAATATTTTAAAAGAAAAAGAGAGTCTAATAAACTTTAATATTAAAAATAAATATTTTATATTAAAATTTAGCTACATACATACATACATATATATTTAACATTCATTTGCCTTTGAGTATAAATTTCATCATATCCAAAATACTTATAAAAAATAATTTACACAACAACATAAGAAAACAAAATACCTCGGTGGTAACTACATATAACAGTTTTTATTTTTTCTTCAAAATTTTAAATTCAATTTTGAAAATTCATTTTCAAGTATATTTAATACATAAATAAGATACATAATGTAATATGTATTATGTGTACACAGTATTATATTTATATAATGTGTATATTGAAAAAATAAACGTTTCCATTGAAATAAATTTCTAAAATGTGTAGGATGGAGAAAAAAAAAATGAAAAGCTTTTTGAAAATTTCATTGCTAAACTTTGTGTAGTATATTATATTGTTAGCTAGTGAAAATTGATCTATTTTAAGTTTTATCCTAAATAAAATTTACGCAAATATTTTAGCTAAAAATTCTGTCTAGAAACCTTACGTAAGAATTGAAAAATAAATTTTGAAAAATAAAAAATCTATATGTTTGTATCTAATATAAACTTCCATTTGGAAAATAAAAGAAATTAAAAATCCAAAAAAATTTTCATTTTCATACATATGCACATATGTATATATAATCTTTATATAAAAAGTTATTGAGATATTAAAATTTCGCTCAAATCCTACATGTTTTTTTTCCAGCCTTTTATAAAAATATTTTCTAAATTCACAAAAATTTTTTTTTTAAATTTATGTTATACAGCTGCCTTTTTGTTGAATATAAGTATTTAATTTTTTTTTCTTCTCTTTTAATAAAACTAAAGAAGAAATATTAGCAAAAATTTTGAAATTTTAATGGCAATGTAAAATAAATATTAGAAATTTCTATAAAAATAAAATTTTATTGGGAAAAAATTTTTGTAAGACATGGAACTATTTAAGTTAGTTTTTAATGTTTTTCTTAATTTACCCATTATCGAATTTCTTAATTGTTTACATTTTTGAGTTTTTGTGGTAAAATTTTCTTTCTTAATTGTTTACATTATTTTGTACTATAATTAGAAAATAAATAATAAATATGTATATTGTATAAATATATACATATATATTAAATTCTTTAAAACTTACTTTTTAAAAATACATACATAATATGCAATCATAAAAATATTTCTAAATTAATACGAAAAGTATTATATTGTAAAGATTGGATATAAATAAGTGTTATAAATGGTACATTGTTGAAAATTTAATTAAATTAAATTCAGTCAATTTTTAAAAATTAAATACCTAATAATTTGAATTAAATAAAAAATTCAAAAATTATTGTTTTAAATAAAATATGTACTGAAGATAAATAAAAATTAAGAATTACATTAACATAGCCATATTATAATGTTATACTTTTAAATTCAGAAAAATTTGACAGAGTAGTATCTGATCTTGGGCTTTGAATATAGTAATATGGTGGCTAAGTTTAGAAATTTTTAATAATTATTTAGTTTAGAATGGTTTGATTTAAATAAACATTTTTTTTTTATAAATTAAATCCACTTTAGAAGTATTTCATGAATCTGTCTGTTATGTAATTCGACTTAACTAAGTCATTGTACTTTAGAAGAATTAGATAATTTTAAAGATTTATGATATATATTAAATTATATTCTTATAATTTTACTATTGTTGCAATATTGAATTGAGAGTTTATTATAATATACTTATATAAATAAATCATATTAAATAATTGCAAATAAATTGCAATAAATGATTGAAATTAAAGTCGTTGTTATGCAATCTAAAACGATGGTAAATAGTAGCTTGTATCATTTATGATACAGTTCTAGGAAAATTTCTTATTGTCAATTTATTTTATAGAGAAATTCGATATTAATTAAAAAATAAACTTAATCCTTATTAGAAAATATTTCTGCACATCATAAATTATGATAATATGTAAAAGATTGCATTAATTAATTGTATTTAAATATATTATCCAAGATTATTCAGTAAATGAAAATTTTCTTTAATCCTTACTTGATGTTGAATTGGTTCATTCATATCAGGAACTTCACGCCAGTAAACTGGTCTGCCATTTTTGAATGTAATGTATGTGTTTTGCATATTGAATATCCTATATTTTTGTGTTTTTTTTTTTTTAATATTTTGTAATTTGAAAAAAAAATATACATATATTTTATAAACATTAATTTATTTTTTAATATAACATGAAAAATTTGAAAAAATTGAATTTAAATAAACTTTTACTTTATCTTTTAAATATTTAAATTGTTTAAGGAAAATATTTATTTTTTAATATTAATTATTTTTTCTTTTGTACTTAAATTATTCAAAATTTTTAATTTTTAATAGATAATTCACTATAACAATTCCAAAAAAAAAAAATATATTAAATAAAATAGAAAAATGCTTTTATTTTTAAGATTTTAATTTTCCAACTTGTTTAATTTTAAATTTAAATATTTAGATGTTGTATATAAAAGAAAAACCATTTTTTTTTTTTCAAAAAGATGATGTAATTTAAACAATTTATTTAATTTTTAATTTATATATTTTTCTGAAATTTTGATATATTCGAATGAGTGGAAATTAACCGAAGGGTTTCTTTCCAAAAAAAAAAAACGAAACAAAAGTTATAATTATTATATATTATGAATATAAAGGGAATATTGAAACTGGAAAATTCAATAAAATTGCATAAGCTCTAAGAATAATTTTTCACTTTATTTTTCTTAATTAAAAATTTTGATAAATTTAAATAAAAAAATTAACAATCGAAAAAAATTTATTATTTTATTTTTCTTTATTTTAATAATTAATTTAATTAACCTTTATTGTTTCTTCCTATTTAAAAATGAAAATTAAACTTTTTTTTTCTTTTTGTTTTTCTTTAAAAATTAAAATTCTTAAAATTAATTTTTTTTTTTTTCAAAAGTGAAGATTAAATTTAAAACTCAATTGAAGATAATTATTTCGTTCGTGTGTGGTGGAATGAGCGATGTTTACGAAACAGTTTTCCGAAAGCAACTGACTTAGTAATGAAATTGAATATTTTACACAAATTTTTTTCTTATTTTTCCACGAAAATTATTTAAAATTGAAGAAAAAAAAAAACAATATTTAATTTTATTTATTTTGTTTTATTTTTTTTTTCTTCTAATTTTTCATTTTATATATTTTGTTTTTCTTTTAGCTTTTCTTTTGTTTATAAAAATTTTGAATTTTGAATTTTTAATTTTTCTTTTTTTTTTGTTTTTCTTGTAGTAGACGATGATATTATATAGGCTGATCTGAAAAAATATATCTACTATATGATTTTTCCAAACATTGAAAAATTTTTTTTTTGTTTTGTGTTTCTAAAAGCTTCTTTTAATTCAAGAATAATATAAATCGTAAATATTGGTAAAGAGCTTTCCGAAAAAATAAAATTAATTTAAAATTATTCTTATTAAAAAATTATGTATAAAAATTTTAATAAAATGTAATAAAGTTCATAATAAAAATAAGATTTTAAAAAATTAATATTTAAATAAAATAAATATTTTTAAATGAATATAAATTAAATCATAAAATATTATTATAAGTTCACAAGTATCTATCGATATAATAATGTTATATTTATTATACTCCTACAAAATTTCAATAAGAAAAAATAAAATTTTGCAAATTATTTAACAATTTAAGGTGGAATTTTTTGAAATTTTCTTATTTTTCTTTTCTGTTTTTTTTTTTTTATTCCTTCTTTTGAGATCATCATTATTTCAATTAATTTATAAACAATTTTTATTATCGTAAAATGTTTTTTTTGCAGTTTTAACCCATTAAAAAGCGTGTGCCTTTAAAATGGTATTTAAAATATTTTGATCTTTTTTGTATTAATAGTGCAATTATTAAATAATGTTACAAAAATTTGAAAATTTAATTTTAACAGATGTTACATTTTTATTCTTCAGAATTGTGTTAAATTTTATGAATATACCTTGAATATTTTATTTAATTTTATGTAAAAGAAATTTTAATTTTGTATTAAAATCAGAGCAGGTTTTTATGTAATTTAATAGAAATTTCAATTTCTATTAAAAATATTTGTAATTTACAAAAAAAATACAAAAAAAAAATTAAGTATTTAAAATTTATAATAAATAAATAAATAAATTAAGTTTTAGAAATATTGGGAATTTACTCAATATTTTGTGATACTATAGTGAAATTAATTATTTTGTTATTATAATATTAATATAAAAACACAAAAATTGAAAAATTTAGAGCAAACACATTAAGAAAAAGTAGATAATTTGGAAAATTTGGAAAATTAAAAAAAAAATAGCTAAATTAAGAACTAAATTTTTGAAATTCATTCAAAAATACAAAAAAAAAAATCATTAAAATATAAAAATTTTTAGTTTCTTTTGATCTACTCTAAATTCTATTAAAATATTATCTATATTGTTTGTTAAAAAATTACTTATAGAATTATAAATGATTGTATTTTTTTCAGCTTAAGCTTGTTTCAATAGCTTGTATAATAATTAAAATCGAGCTATAATATAACAAAATTTTTTAAGAGCTATTCATGAAAGAATAAATATTCATAAGAGATTCTATATTTTTTAGCAGATAGTGTTTTTCTAGTTTTTTATAAGATCAATACAATAACAAGTATAATAAATGATAATGACCTAATAATAATAAAACTATTAAGAGCTGCTCAACTAGAAATATATTTGAGTGGTAAATTTTTAAAAGCAATAGAAATTAAATAAAGTCAAATGCAAATTT